GGGGGAGGAGGTGGATGTATCGGCCTGGAAAGGTGAGTGGACGAACCCCGCAGAGCTTGGTCAGGACAAATCCATGGTAGCGCGTTTGCAGGCCGATGCCCTCGGAGGTGGCGCGAATTGGGCGCTTGCTGGGCGACGGGCCGCCCGTCGAGGCACCCGGGGGAGTGGAGGAGGCGCTGACGCTCGGTGGCTCTGCCACCGGGGGAATGGCCGCCGGAGGGAGGAACTTGGACACCGATCCGCCAACCGACGGAGGCGGCAGAGCTGGGGGGCTGCGTCGGACGAAAACCGGCACATCGGCCGGGAAGCACATCTGGGCAATGGGGGGACGAGATGTGTGAGAGGGCCAGCACGTCGGAGAGTCAGACTTGGCCAGCAAGGAGCACAGACATCGAAGTGGGAAGGGGAGATGCGGGTCTGTGTGTGTGTGTGTGTGCGTGCGCGTGCGCGAGCATGCTGGGCACGCACCCAAGGGACGGCCACTTCATCGAGGGCAAAGTCCGGCCGATTACCAGAGGCATCCGGGTACCGGGAGAGGACCTTTGGCTCGAGACGGTGGAGAACCGCGCTGCCAGGCGGGACTGAGGAAGGGGTTTAGCCGGTCAGCCAGGGGTGTGGGAGGTGGGCCCGGAATGGGCATCAAATGGGGAGGGAGGGAGGGAGGGAAGGAGAGAGAGAGAGGGAGAGGGAGAGAGAGGGCGAGGGGGAGAACGTACCCTCCGGCCCGGGGGGAAAGCACGCCCGGGCATCGGCATCCGGGACGCCACACAGGAGGACATAATCGACAAGGCGCTTCTCCGAGGGGAGGGCCCCGGCGGTGAGAACCTCCGGGCTCATCAGTTCGGGGAGAGACTCCTCCACGGTGGGAGAGGGGATTGCCGGAGTGGACACCCCGGAGGCCCGGATGGGCCCGGCTGCGTGCCGGCCGAGGGCCCGGCCACCGAGGTCACCACCAACGCTGGTGGTTGTCAGGGAAGCCATGCTATCTCACGCGGATGCAGGGCGCGCCCGCCGGAGGGGAGCAGGCCATCAACAGCGCAAGCGAGGAGAAAGAGAAGGAGGTAGGCGTACTCGCGCGTGCGCGATCACCACCAGCGGAAGGGGAGGGGGGAGAGGGGCTAAGTGGGGGCTGTGAAGAGGAGAGGGGGAGACGGGGAGGAGGGGGATGGGCGGAGAGGAGGAGAGGTGGGGCTGGGTGACCACAAGCCCGAGGCTCTCTCGGCGCTGCACTGTTTTCCTCTCATTCCTGCGGATCCCGGGGGGGGGAGAGATGGGGGGTGGAAGCGCGTCTGGGGGCATTCGAGGCGCCCAGGGGGCCTGGAGGCCCGGCTTCTTTGAGGCCAACCGGGGGGGGGGTTGGGGGGGGGCGGCTCCTCAGGGCAGACTATTGAAGGGGGTAGACCACCACCGCCAGGGAGGCCACTACTACCCGCGGACGTGGTGGATCGGGCTGGGAGCAATGCCCCGGGGGGGGGGGGGGGGGGAGGGAGGGGATCATTCATCGTGGTGGCAGCTCGTGACGCACAGATAATCGGTCAGGTGTTGGAGCAGGGCGGGACGGGAGGGGGATGGGGGGGGGTGGGGGGGGGGGGGGGCGGGGAACGGGCCCGGGGCACGCCGAGCCGGATCGGGCCAGCAGCGGCCGGGGGCCCGGCCGATTGCTGGGGCGCGCGCGGGCGCCTCACCCGGCCCTGATCAGAGTTGCTAAGGGAAAATAGGCGCGTCCGCGGGCGCATCAATGGCTGCATTTGGGCTTCAATTCGGGGGCTCACGGATGTGGGGCGTGCGCATGGCCAAGTGTGCGTGTGCTCGGCCAATACAACACGGAACAGGGGGGCAGAGACCACGGGGGGGGGGGACAAGGATCAACATGGCCCCGGCGCCGCGCAGTGAGACACCTACCCCACGCCAAGCGCCTGCTGGTGATTTGCCGGCGCCGGCGCCGGCGCACGCGTACCAACGCCCGCCCTCAGCGGGCGCACATACGACGCCCATGGTCGATGTTCCCCCAGCATCTCCGGGGAGGGGGCCCACAGCAGGGGGGGGGG